CAACGAGATGTCTATTCTTGTGCTTAGCTATCCCATTTTGTTGAGGTTTATAAAACACATGACGACTGATGAAAAATGCCATGAGAAGAGAAACAAGATTTATTACCAATAATGTGATTAGTGGCACTTGAGTCCAGAGCCTAATGGTTAAGAGAGTGGGAGAGAGTGAGGCAAGCAAACAATGTAGCTTTGCGTGAAAAAAAAAAGCAATGGAACCAAAGTTCTAATGATGTTCATACCATTGAGAAATTTGTTTAAGATAGCTTGCTATCCTAAATTATTAGATGAAGTGGGACCTAAATTGGATGGTTGTGAGGGAGCAACTTGGGCAACCGCAACAAATCGAGGAAGACCATGTAACATCAGTCAATTTTGTGACTGAACCTATGACAATGTTCACACTTGTATTCTACCTAGCTTTCTAGGGTGATTGTGAATATCACATATTAGTAAATGTTGAAATATTTTGCATAATTTTAAACTTAGTGATAATTTTGATACAGTTATTTTACATTTACTTTACACTTATTAGCCATTCCCATCCTTTCTTGCCACTCATGGCAATCTTCATAGGCTTATTTGTCCTCATACTCATTACCAAAATGGTGTTGTTGAACAAAAACATATGCACATCACTGAATTGGGCTTAACTGTATTTCATCATGTTTCTCTTCACCACTTCAGGGGGAGAAAGCACTTGAAGTGGATGAACTCTCCATCTTGTCATTACCATGTTTGTCTTTGCAGGATGTCCAAAATCTGAGCAATGAAGCTACCATAATCGACAAAGAGGAAGAAGACAAATTTTTTGGATAAAAATATGAAAGAAGAAAACAACTCACTTTGACTCTTGAGCAAGAAAAATTGTCTAATCTAGAGGTGAGGATCCCAGAAGATAACATTGAGGAGGTAAGTAGTACTAAGGATTTACCCATTGTATTGAGAAAGGAAAGAAGATCATGTGCTAAATATCCTATTTCTTAGTATGTTTGCACTAACAATCTCTGTGATAAGCATGAAACCTTTATTGCTACCATTGATGCCACAGAAATTCCTACCTCAATCTGGGAGGCCATGAAACTTGAACATTGTAATCAAGCCATGAAAGAAGAGATGAATGCATTAGAAAGAAATTCAACTAGGGAGATTGTTGATAAGCCAAGAGACAAGAAGGCAGTAAGGTGTAGATGGATATTCATAGTGAAACATAAGGAGATGGGACAATAGAAAGATATAAAGCTAGATTGGTGGCAAAAGGATATACCCAAACTTATGGGATTGACTATGAGAAAACGTTTGCCCCAGTGGTAAAACAGTTCGAGTTGTTCTCACTTTGGCTACTCATTTTCGATGGGACTTACACTAGTTGGATGTGAGGAATGTCTTTCTTCATGGAAATCTAGAAGAGGAAGTGTACACGGAGATTCCCCCAGGTTTTAAAGGGAAAAATGAAAGAAACAAGGTATGCCTTCTAAAGAAAGCATTGTATGGTCTTAAGCAATCCCCTAGAGCATGGTTTGGAAGATTTACAAAAGCAATGGTTTCCTTGGGATATAAACAAAGTCAAGGAGATTATACTTTATTCATAAAGCACTCTTCTACATGTAAACTCACTATATTGCTTAACTATGTGGATGATATGATTATTGCAAGAGATGATGAAAAAGAAAAATTGGCAGCCCAATTTGAAATGAAAGATCTAGGAAAACTCAAATATTTTCTTGGAATAGAGGTTGCTTACTCCAAGAATGGAATTTTCATCTCCCAAAGGAAATACGTACTTGATCTCCCCAAAGAAATAGGAAAGCTAAGATGTAGAACCTCAACAGTTCCTATAGAACATAATCACAGAATTGGAAGTGAAGAAAGTTCTCCTTTAGAGAAGGTCCAATATTAGAGATTGGTAGGAAAATTGATTTATCTATCATATACAAGACTAGACATTGCTTATGCAGTTAGTGTAGTTAGCCAATTTATGCATGATCCAAGAGAAAGACACATGCAAGCAGTTGACAAAATTCTCCCATACTTGAAGTCAAGTCTAGGAAATGGGCTATTATTCAAAAGGGAAGACACATTAACTATAGAAATATATACTGATGTTGACTATTCAGGTTCTATTACTAACAAAAAATTTACTTCTGGGTATTGTGTCTTTCTTGGAAATAGTCTAGTAACGTGGAGGAGCAAAAAGCAGATAGAGTATCTCGTTCTAGTGCAGAAGCTGAATTTCGAGCTCTTACTAAAGAAATATGTGAAGGACTCTGGATGAAAATTTTTTTGGATGACCTTAAAGTCAAGGTGGACAACCCTATGCAACTACACGATAACAATAAGTCTGTCATGAGCATTGATCATAATCCAATACAACATTATAGGACCAAACACTTTGATATTGATAGACATTTCATCAAAGATAATTTAAACAAAGGCTTTGTGATTACAACTCATGTTCCTATAGAACTTTAAATAGCATATATTTTTACAAAAAGGCTCCCTCTGGGTAGATTTCAAGATCTTGTATGCAAGTTGGAAGTGATTGATATTCATTTACCAACTTGAGGGGAAGTGTTGTAAATAGAGGAAAATCTTCCTAATTAGAGAAAATATATGTAGAATCTTCCTAATCAGAGAAAATATTTGTAGGATCTTCTAGATTATTTTCCAGTATATTGTTTCCTTATTTCCCATTGTTAGAAGATTAGATTGTTACAAATAGAGGTAAAGAGAATTTAATAGACATGAATGAAAATAATAAAAGTCATTCTCTTTTTCAAGACTTAACAACCAACACTGAGACCAATATATAAGTAACCCAGCCCTTGGGGAAGAACCAAACACTTAATACTCCACTGAGGATCCCATACTATTCAATGTGGGGCTTAGGCACCCCAAAATACAGAAGTCCCTATCCCTTTATAACATTGTCAATTTGTTGCTATATATAAAATACAAGTTCCTCAATCAATGTGAGATCTTCATATATTTGTCTTGTAAATAGTTGGAGATGTATATTGTGCTATTCATAACAACCAAGTGATCAACTTACTAATTGCAAATTTGCACTTTGTATAAGACATGCAAGTCTCAAAAAGGTGAGACACAAAAACAGTTATAGTCCACCTTCAAGAAGTTTGTAATCTATAGAGAACAAAGAGTAACCAACTTGTTCTATGCCAGCAGCTTAGGGAAAAGGAAACCTTTCAAGAATCAGAAATTGGAAATATAGAAGATAAAATGCCACCCATACCTTATCACCCACGCCAGTACCTAGCACGCCCATTTTCATTCGGCACTGAGCAACCCTGAATTGAAAGGTAGGTATTGGAAATCAATATAAGTCTGGCATGTTGACTTGATGAGCAGTTATAACTCAGACACACATAAAGGGCGTTATAATGCACTAAATATGGATTAGTCAACTTATGGCCAAAGATTCACCAAAGGTAGGTATTGAAAATGAATATAAATCTTGCATGTTGACTTGATGAGCAGTTATAACTCAGACACACATAAAAGGGCATTCTATAATGCACTGAATGTGGATTAGCCAACTTATGGCCAAAGGTTCATCAATACTTATGAGAAGCCTTGATGGTTGCAATAGACGTACTGAGAGCACACGGACTAATGCTACCAGAGAAGGGTAAGCAAAAGATATGGGAGTAAAATTCTTTACTTACCAAGAAACTCAAAACAATCATGCCAAATAAGATCCCAGCACTAACATTCACTTCAATAAAATTTCTAAAGTGCTTCAAGTTTTCTATTTTGAAAAAAAAAAGAATAATAATCAACAAAATGTTAAAGTTCTATTTAAGGATTACTAAATGAAAGCCAGGCACTTATGGCAACAAAATAGGGCCTCATTTGGACTTGAACAATAAACAGATCCACACTAATAATCCATTCATTCTCAAATACCGAACCAAGTTATCAACCACATTCGATTCAACCACTTACTATCAAGTGAAAAAGCACCATCTAATGAGTAATGCCTCCCAAGTGAATATTGAACCCAATGTTACAAATATTATTACAATGGCAGATTCCAGAACGTTTCATGATGTTGAAATGGCACACATCATAATGTCTCGACTTGCTCATTTTATGCAAACAACGTGCAAAATGTAAATTTGTACAACTATGTCTGTTAAGAGCACTAGTCTGTTAGAAATATTTTTTGCTCTATATAAAGAAAATTTACATACTCTCATCGTATCTTTCCAAATCAAGCAATTACACAACAGTTTATTCTATGAAAGTCCTCTCTCATTCTTGGAGATCTATGACCTTTGGCAACATCGATTAGGTGTCACTTGCATATCTTCACATTTTTGTGATAACGTCAAGGAATCAATTGTTATGTAAAATAAAGAGATTGAAAACATTACTAAAGTGCAAAGGGAAGATTTAGGTACGTTGTTGAATGACCCTTCCACTGATCAACGTAAAAGCCACCATCTAGAAGAGCCAATCTATGCTGCTCCATAACCATCTCTCCTAAAATGACCCTCAAGGGCTTTTCGGTAAATTCAGACGATGAATTCTTTATGTTCCTCTCACAAAACTCTCGCAGTGAGCGGGACTCGACGATGGCGTTCCTTCACGAATACGCACGCGCGAATTTCAGAAAAGCACGTGCGAATTGAGGATGGTTTGATTGAAACTGATTGCATAAGAAAAAAGGAGAGAGTGGAAGTGAGCGAGGTACCAGAGTTTGCAAACGAGGGAGCAACGAACGAGGTCGAACATGTCGAGGAGAGCGAAAATGGTGCACACGATGTCGGGGTCTAGAGACAGTATGTTCGTCGGAGTTTTCCGCCGTTCATATATTTGGTCGGCGGTCGCCGGCGAAAGACCGTTCTTCGCCGCCGTGAAACTCTGTTGATGTTTGTTCATTGTTTAAAGGAGGGAATCAAAATCACAGTGATAGAACACTAAGACAGTGATTTAACGGAGCAAATGGTGAAGGAAGAATCGGAAGGGAAAACCGAGATAACGGGGGTGACCTTAAGAAAATGGGTGGTGAGTGATAGACGTAACCACACCACTCCATGAAGTGATGTGTATATTTTGAATGAGGTGGCATAAAAATAAAGACTTAATTAGTTTTTGGTCAAAAAGTTTTCAGTAAATTCTTTTATTTTTTTAATTAAAATTGAGAATAAAATATTAATTAAATCTAAAATAAAATTTTGGGTAAATTAAAATAATGTAGTGAAAAAGGACAGAAAAGTAATTAGAGTTGACTCAATTGTTAAAAGATCGTATGTATATGTATGAGCTTTAACATTTAAAAGTCATGAAGGTAAGAACTAATATGTATGGTTGAAGGTTGTCTTGAATCCTAATGTCCACTCTGGTTTCTTCTCTGACAAAATTGTAGTATATGAGGAGGAAGATAGGTGTAGTGTTCATGTCTAAAATCACTTGAAGGTGTCGTTTACCAAAAATAAAGTTTCCCAAAAATAAAGTTGAGTATTTTATAAATTAGTCTTCTCTTTTAGGATTTTTAGACACTTTAATTTTTGACAGGTTGCTATTACATGTGTTTATCATATTCTATCTATTTCTCGATCACCTCTAATTCCATATTTGTTTATTGATTATTATTCATTAGTGTTTCTAGAACAATACTTTATTGATGCATGGAAACATTCTTCTTAAAATACCTTTGTTAAATTAGTCATAAAAGTTGTTATACAACTTATAGATATGATTAAATGATCATGTGATCTAGATAAATAGCTAGATTTGAATAACATTATTTATTTTGAATTTCATATTTATTTAGTGGCTAATGGTAATTGATAGTTTATGAAAGAATATTTTAGGTTTAATATCTATTTTAGTTTCTAATTTGGGGTGGTGTGTTCAAAGTGATCCTATTTTGTTGTTTTGAAATTTCACTATTGTCCCATATTTTGTAAAAACAGTTTAAGTTAGTCATTTTTCTTATAGCGTTAAAAACCTAACGATGTAATTGCCCATCTGGTCAAAAGTGAATGAGGTGTCCAGTTTTGTAATACATGTCACGCTGAGGTCAATTGAGGTATAAATTTTAAAAATAAAAATTAATGACGTGGAAAAGGTTTAACAGAGTCTTAAATGAAATCGTGGTTGTACTGTTTTACTACTGCTTGTGAAATTGTTGTTATGTGTCATGACTAATTACATGGTGGAGGAAGTGAAGAAGTTCCATTCTCCTTCACCATGCCCATCATTTACCTTTTCTTCACCTTCATCATCACCATAAACCTCCATTCTTTTAACACAGACATTATCACATCTCACTTGTACAAATAGAAAAACAACAACTCATTACCCATTTCTTCATCCTGAACCCACAATCAACACACCATTCTACCACCATCATTTTTCAACCTCAACGCATACACAATAACACTCTTGAAACCCACACAGTCATCATCCGAAATCTCCATTCTCTTTCTCTTTCTCCTCTGTCCATTCATGCATAAAGAATACAAAAAACAAAGGAGAGTCACCATTCTACCACCACCCAACACATTGAATGCTGGAATCACAAAGCAATTAAAAACAAGGAGCAAGGTAAGAAAAAATCCTAAATTGCAAGATAATGAACACCAAAACCTAAAACGTGAAATCAACCCAAGACAAGGAAACTCGATTCGCAAACAAAGAAAAGAACCTCAAAACATTNAAACCTAAAACGTGAAATCAACCCAAGACAAGGAAACTCGATTCGCAAACAAAGAAAAGAACCTCAAAACATTAAAGTCAACCCTGATTCAAAATCCTAATTTGAAATCCCTAAAATTTGCAAGATCTGAAACACAAGTAAAGGAAACCACAAAACGCTGCAATCTGAAATCCCCTTCTTGCGAAACACTCTCGATTCGGAACGAAAAGGGAGGAGAAATCCTATGTTGTGTCTTCAAGTTGGAGATTTTCAGGAGTCATAGTCTTTTGGTTGGGTTGATGAGGCTTGTTAAAGACAAAAGGCATTCAAATGGAATTTGCCCAGGCTCTACAGAACAGTGTGCTTGGATTCATAAAAGTGTACTCAATTGCCACGTCAATTTGATCAGTTGCCACATAACTTGACAGGTCATTTATTATTGGATAAGGTGGACATTACGCCGTTAGGTTTTTAACGCCGTAAGAAAAAAGGACCACCTTAAACCGGGTTTACAAAACATGGGACAATAATGAACTTCTGAAAAAGGGTAGGACCAGTTTGAACACATCACCCCAAACTAGGGACCAAAATAGGTATTAAACCTAAAATATTCTTCGACCAACTATCAATCATCATTAGCCACTAAATAAATATGAAATTCAACTGTAAATATCACACTCTAGATATTTTCTTGATCGCCTTACTAGCACTCAATTGCGGATTTTATGGCCCAGTTGTGTCATCTTTAATTCTTTGTAAAATTAATACAGATTATCATAAATTCATCAATTCCCTATTTTTCTTCTTCTTAATACCTTTTCATGTAATTATAAGTTAAAAAAGGTTATTTACTTACAAAATATGATCAATTAAAACATGATAAGTGTCAAATTTATATGGAAATTTTAAGTATTCTAGACACTTATCAATTAGCTACCGAGGTTTTTGCTACCAATGTTTTAAAATTTAAGACCAATTTAGACATTAATTTCTTGGTAGCTAAATCCTTGTTCATAATATTTTAGTTGTTAACAATTGATAGTTTTTGGAAACATTAATTATTTTTCAATTACAATCCACCACCACATAATAGTAGGTTAAATAAGTTGTAAATAATGCTAAATTGGTTATTAATTTGGTTCAATTATTATATGACCTTGGACAACCACTGTACCTTTAATAACAATGTTTATAAAAAGCTTTGAATTTCATCATATTTGAATAGTAACCACTAATACATTTTTTGGAAACATATTTTAATTATTGTCAAAAAAATGGGTTAAATGATTGTCAAGATGTGGTTAAGTCAATTATAAACTTGATTAAGTGATCATATAACCTTGAACCACTTGACCTTCAAACAGGAGTATTTATAAAGTTTTGACATTCTTTATTTCATAATGGTAATCAATAATTGGGTGTTTGTGGAAACATATTGTAATTATTCTTGACTTAAACTATGCAACACCAAATCGGGTTAAATTAGTTCAAATAAGTGGTTAAATGAATTGGTTAAATGATCATATTACTTTGGACACTACTTGGCCTTCAATAATCGTGTTTATAAACCTATTAGTGTCTTTAAAATTGAATGCCTACCATTGATTGAGTTTTTGGAAACATACTTTAGTTATTCTTCATTTACACTTAGGAAGAAAAAATGGGTGAAGTAAGTGTAAAAATGTGGTTAAATTAGACATAAACTTGGTTAAATGATCATGTGAGCTTACACAACTATTTGGCCTTATGGAATAAGCTCCTTCAAGCTATATGACTCAAACAAGGTGGAGACTTTCAAATGGGTTGATGGTTGAGGAAGTTTGATGTGGTGAGATGGTGGTTCCTCCTCCAAGCTATATGACTCAAGCAAGGAGAAAGTCTATGGTAGTGTTTGGGTGCTCTCAAGAGAGATTGGATCAACTTTTAAGGAAGGGTGGCTATAGAAAACCTAGATGGGGTGCTCTAGCCTTGATGACCTAAGTTGAGTAACATGACACAAATTTGACAATATAACAATATTTAATTCAAAAGTGAATTTACATGGGGAGACACATGCTTCAATCAATCGTCTTTAACAACCATGTCTCTCTTGATGAAACTATGTGTCAAGTTGTTAAACACTTGTTCACGACCTCGGTGATGACCGCTCTGGACGATGCTTTCTCTCAAGAAATCTATGTTCCTCCTCCAATGCTTCTTGTCATTCCTGAAGAACCATCTGTTGAATAAGAAGCTTTAAAGGAAACCTATGTCGCTCCCTCCTCTTCACCTCCATGTACACCATGTCCAACTTTTGAAGACCTTGACCCTATCATACAAACACCTAGCCCCCCACACCAAACCACAACCTCAATCTCTCAATTTGACCTAAACACTAACCAAATTATCCCTCAACCACAACCTTTAGTCACCATTCCAGCCAACACCTCCCTAAACCTACCTCCCTTACCCTTTGATCCAAACTCTCAAGCCATCTTGACCCATGTTCATCACTTGCTTGCTAAAAACAATGCGTACCACAATAAGCTACAAGTGTCGCAATGTTTCAAGAAAACAAGGAAGAACAACAAGCAAGCTTCCGAAACCTTCTCAACACCCTAAACAATGTCATTGCCCAAATATTTCCCAAAGGTTAAAGAGTATGACAAAGGTTAAAACCTCCTTCTTATCATGAGGTAATAGTTTCATATTTGAAAGATATTGTGGATAATGTACAAGAAACTTAAATGCCAAGACTAATAATTAAATTCTTTTGCTAATGTAGGTCCTAGAAACTTAAATGCCAAGACTAATAAAAGTGGGCAATCCATAATAGAAAATGAGAAAGAAGTTGAAGAGATGGAAAAGGAAAAGAACTTTCAATTAAAGATGACTTAAGTGATGTAAATCTTGGAGAGGAAGAGAATTAAATATGAATGATTGGGATAGAGTTTTTTTTTGTTTGAGGTTGCTTAGTATGTATAAGCAACAACCATGGTCTATAGTAATTATGTAACAACAACACATTTTTTTAATGGTTGTAATGCAAAATTTGCTTAGTAACATACATAATTATAAGAATCTTATGGAGTAGCCACACTTTTTCTTTAAAGTTGTCTTGTTGAAATTGTGTGGTAAATACATGTAAATACAACCACTCTTTTTTACTATAAAATTATTTTATTACTAATTATATCCATATATCTCGTATATTTAAGAATATGTTACATTTTTTTTTAATGTTTGTGAATCTTACTATTCATGATGGTTTGATATATAGTTCGTATCTCGATTCAACTATCATAATCGATATATATATATATATGAGTTTTCCCTTGTATCTTATACTGTAACGTTTCTGTTTCAGAGTCTTAAAATATGTTTTACAGGTACTTGCTTTATTTTTCTTTCATTCTTTATCTGCATGTGAGGCCTTTCTCCTTCTTCACACACCTTGCCGTGGTTAAGCACCAAGACATCAAATACACTGTCACGACTACTACCAAAATCCTGATACCAATAGATGAATAATTGTAAGAGAAAGAAAGGGAAGACAATAGTTGCTAAGGAGCCACGCACGCATAGTAAAAACTTAGAAATAACTGCCGGTTGTATAAAATGCAAAGATCAAATACATAATTGCAAGTGGCAAATAACAGTGATGATTATAGTTCGCAACAATATACAAGTGGTTAACTACTCATGATCCAAGTAAATTCAAGATTTGTTTTAATTACAAGTATTTCTGAGAGTTTTTTTCTTACTAAAAATATAGAATTCTTATAGTTTTATATCAAAAAAACTCTTGCCAACGTTCGTTACATACAAACGTACAATTTTGCTTAGACAAGGCAGCAAGAGAAACAAAATATAGGGCAGCAAACGTAATCATCAACTGAAGTTCCATGAATCAATATACTTGGGCTTTGACCAATGCAGCATTGCATAAAATATGCTTAATCCTTTTTCTTTTGGACTCCAACCCATCGAGCAAAATCCACCCACCTACTCACAAATGTGTAATAAATAATTAGGAAGAAAAGACACTGCAAGCGTAATGGTACATATTCATAGAAATCAATTGAGATTAATCAATAATCTTACAGTAGCGAACCCCAGTAGGTATTGGCAGTTCTAACAGTAAAGTATGCTGCGGTTAGCATAAGCTTGTTTCGGTGTAGTAATGGTTCAAGAATTCGTTGCTCAATAATTCCTGCAAGTACCTGGTACCTGATAACAAAGGCTAATCCTTAATAAGAGGTTTTATTGTTTGTTTTCTTTTTTGTTTTGCTAACTAGCAGAGATCCTCATGATCTACAAATTTTGCAACTGTGACAGTATACTACTAGTGGATAACTCAGAATACAATCTATTCACAACTACTGTTCTCTTGATGGGATGTCCAATACTGTAAAAATACAAAGATAGAAGAAAAATAGGGGTAAAATACATTTATTGCAGTTTGTTCTGACAATGGAATACCTGATGTTGCTAATGACAACCATGTAAACTCCATGTGCTACACTGGTTGATATTACAGGTAAATTCTCAGCCTGGGCAGCAAATGTTTTATTAACAGCATTCTTTACATTAATCAACGCATTTGTTATCATAGTACCAACCTGAAAAGGCATTGCCATCAGTCAAATTACGCAGAGCACGGCCCAGATATATCTCAAATCCTGTTCGATACTATTCTGCTTATAGAACTTCACCATGATGAATGAGTGTAATTAGTACAATAGAAACAGTTTCTTCTTCGAACATGTAGCCCTTATGCCTCGTACGAGCCACACTACAACATGCTTGAGGAGCAGGTGACATATCTCTAAAATAAATTTGTAACATGTATTTTATGTCATCTACTGTACTTAATGATGCATCTAAACTTATTCTTTCACGATTTTCTATTTATTTTTGAATTAGGGTATTCTTCAATTGGGATTCAAAAGATTAATTTCTTGGAATACTGAAATCTATTTGAGTTGACCTTTTTTACACATGCTTTTCCATACACTCTAATCACGGATAAACTCTTAATCATATGGTTAAAGAAGAAAGCTATCTACTAACTATTTTACACCACATTGTATATGTAATTAGTTGTTAGTTAGTTTCAATGTTTTCTAGGTGAAGTAATTCACTGTTATATGGCTAAATACATAATGAAGTCTCAAAACAAGAACTTAGCAAAAGATTTATATCAGACTAGGAAACAGAGTGAAATACGAAGAAATAGCAAGAGAAATTCTAATCAATATAATACTTCTCCATTAACTTAAATCTTAAACCGTGACACCTAAAAGCTCAATCCAACTGTCAAAAACAATGAAACCGCTGCAAGAAGTCTAACCTAAATTAATTTTTGTTTTTCCATATATTTTGAAGATCAGCATAACTCCAAGACCAAAGGCTATAACAAGCTAAAAGGGTATTTTGTAAACAAATAATGTGCTAATTTACCAATGAAGCGCTGGTGCCAACAACAAATAGCTTTGCGCCGTTACGCTGCATAAGAGACGGAGATGATCCTCATTTAAAAGGAAAAATTATGTGACTTGCTTTAAATGATCCAAGACATACCACTATAGCACCTATTCTTTGGAGAAGGGTATACGATGTTCCAGGTAAAGCCACCTGTAGAGATTATTTAACTTTCTAATCATATCCAGTATAGCAATTACAACTAAAATTATAACAAAATTCAAAAGAAGAAATGTAGAAAGATGAAGGAGTGTTAACCTGAAAAGCATTATCAGGACAACCATAGAACAATTTAGCAATGGGTCCAGCACTGACTGCAAGGGGAGGTTTGAGAGAAACAGTAGGTGCAGGAAACCACACAAGTAGAAAACCTGTTACAATGCCTGTTACCTAAAACAAATTTAAAAACTGAATTAGGTGCTTCCCAAATTCTTACATAAAGAACTAGACAGAATACAAATTGAGTTTCACAAGAGTACAAAGAGTTAGTTCAAATATGATTAGTACAAAAGGGAAATTTTGAGACCACACTACTTCTGGCTCGAAAACAAAAATATGTGGATTGACTTTCGATGGAGTATTAGGGTAATTTTGGACAAGCTTCTCCATAGAGGCTTTTAGGAGAAAAGGATATGATGAAAATGAAATTAACTTCTTCATAAACTATAATGGGCTTATGCACATATTAAAAATAAAAATTTAGAAGAATTAGTTCGAGGAAACTCTTACAGATTAATCTGTTCATAAGCTAATTATAACTTACGAAGAAGCTCATTTTAGTTTCTCTCCACTTTTTGTCATAGAAGTCCTTATAGAGAAACTTGTTTAATAAAGTCTCGTAAAAGAATATAAATCTATCATTTGTTGATTTAAGTCTGCTAATTGGAAACTAGTGCAACAGCTCACAAACATGGCAAAACTTAAGAAAGAAGACATAAAGCTGACACATTATAGTTGCAAAATTCTAATTTTCTAGTCCCTATACCTCTTTTTCTCACATGATTAATCTCCATACATAGAATATTGTAGAAAAATTGACAAAATCATTGTACCTCTTAAAGACTTATCCGCGCCACGGTATATGTACAAGTCCCCGGAACAAATGGAGTAAAAGAATAAACCCATAATATAAAGAGGATAAGAAGAGAAACTAAGAAAAAGTAAGAAAATAGCTTGAGGAATAAAGTTTCCTTTTTGAGAGGAGAACAAAAAATTTGATTTGGTGTATGATTTGGAATCCAGGAAATGCTTTATTGACAGAGCAAGAAAGTTGGTCAAAAGCTAAAATAATGAATAATAAAAACCGTTGACACTTATCAATTAATAAGAAAATAAAAATGGTTGACCAATGTTTAAAACTAACTTTTCTTTTGCAATTATTATTATTTTATAACATAGAAACATTCAATTTAAACATTGGACATAATTTTTAATTTAGTCATTGTATATACCATTTTAATATCTTTCAGCCTCTAACATAAGGACTGAAAAAATTAAGAGTGATATTCATTGGAGCTAAAGAAAATAGCACTTTTAACTATAAGAATTAAAGAAGATTTTTTTTAATTAGAGTAATCAAGCATGCAATTAAATTTTCGAAGTGATAACATTTTCAATCACAAGCCTAAAATGTGATAAGTTGGAAAAAAATTTAGAATTATTTTGCTAGATTACTATAGAACAAATATTATATCCTGGTGTTAAACATACCACATTCGCAACAACAAAATCCAGCTCCTTCTTAAAGTTTTCCTTACGGCGCTTCAACTCTGCAGCTGCCTGGAAGCACACAGGATATCCATTACAGATTGATCATATGTATTATAGACGCTTCGCTATAAGACACTACAGGTTATTTATATTCACGGCACTATTCTTACGGAAACTGTTTTGTATATTCATGCTGATGAAAATCTCAATCCATGGTTAATTCATAGTATAATCTCCCTATGCCTTATTTCTTTTCAGGTCAAAGCAAATTATAATTTACAGATGTAAGAAAATTATGGAAGAGATTTTCAGAAATAGTGGAGAATTTATTTCATTTGACACACTAGCTCCATGGATTGGTAACACATTTCATTTAACCTTAAATGTTCATAATACTAGTGACCCTTCAAATGTTTAGCGGTTACATAAAAATAATGTCCTCTAATACATAATAAGAAAATCCTCAATAGTTATTTTACACACCAAGTTTTTCCCTCAATCTTGTTAAGTCTTCAAAGTTGAGATATTTAGTGAAGATATCTGCAAATTGGTCTTGTATCTTCACATCACCTAATTCCACCTTTTTCTTGACAATCTTTTTTTAAACTTAAATGTCCAGTTGACTTCAATTGCTTTATGACCCTCAATAGAAGTTTTGAAAACTACTAAGTACCATTCTTCTTAATGACTTTGATATCTTCCTGCATGCTTCAACCTTCTTCTGTCTTCCAAAGCGGTATCAAAGGTTAGGGATTCACTATCCACAAATAGACACAACAAATTATTTGTAAATACTGTTTAATCATATATCTCTTGAATACTTTTCCTTTTTCATGGCCCTTCACTTGATTTTGCTTGGGGGATGACGTTTTATGAATCAAAGGTGTTGAAGAATGAGGTGGAGTAGAAAATGCATTGTCATACAACTTTTTTAATGACTTTCCTCTAAATAGGGAACAGTTTCAATCCAAACTTTTATTACATAGATTTAGCTTTCAACGCGCATATGTATTATAGAACATATCCAATACCATTATTTTAACAGAAAGTCATTGAATTCTTTGGATGTAAATCCATCTTTTCTAAAAGACCTTAGAGCCTTGATTAGATAACCACCCTCCTCTTCAGCTTTAAATTTCTTAAAAGCTGCAAATGCCTCAAAATTTTCCTTCAAGTGGCTCTTCTGTTCTTTATTCGGCTTCTTTTGGGAAAACTTCTTCAATGCTTGCCAAGGACACATCAGTATTCCCCTCACCGTCTTCTCATCTCTGTAGGACTTAGAGCTCCAAAATTTAAATGGTCAAACCTCAAACGTCATCATGCTTCATCTTCTTCTGTAGGCCTTTAAGCATTTTGCTTCATTGGTCTTGATGCTTAAAGTGAACATTCTATTTAGTAATCAATTTAAAGTTTTAATCTCTAGGTCTCAAACAATTATCTTTCGAGATAATTTTATAGCCCTTCTCAACATGACGTACTGGACTCAAAATATTGCTTCTTCGTTTAGGAACATAATAGACATTCTTGATTAATTTTGGGAGTCTCATTTAAGGAAATTAAAATAGTATCTTTCCCTTGGATTTTCACCTTAGAAGAATCACCAAAGGAAATATTTATCTGCACCTTTTTGTTCAAGCTACACAAAATTCTCCTTATAACCACAAATGTGATTACTTGCTTCATTATCAATATAATCTTGTATAATAATTCTCTTCAAGTTCCCAAACATCTTGGGAACCTAGACTTCAATGTGATGACACCAACTATTATATTCGCATCGGTAAGACAAGAATTGAAACAAATTCAGGTAATTGTTTCTCATCTCTCAGCTCACTAAATATTTACCTCAATTTCATAAAAAGTAAAAATAGTCCAATTCAAAAATAACATACAAAATAATTATTAAAAAAAAAAACATATCTGATTGTATACCTGACTATTTCATTCTTCATTAAAAATGCAAGAATACTTAAATAAATATAAATTCATTTCACATAATTGAAAATTAAAACTTATCCATCTTACATAGAATAAAAAACCTAATATATTCGCACTGAAAAAGAAATCAAAGTTGGATGAAAGAAGAACCTTGGTGAAGATGATAACACCACTTTCGATGAGAAGCTTGGCCAAGAACAAATCATCTGCGAGCAACCTTTCCCTAAATCCACGGAACTTGAGCAACCACCGCAGTACAACTGACTGTTCCATCTGGAAGAACCTCCGCATTATCGAACCCGGAACCCTCCCCGCGGAAACTGCTGCCGCCAAGTCTTCCGGCAAACTCTCCAACCCCCGGCCGTCCTCCGCCAGCGCCACCATCGCCTCTTCCCTGTTGCGGCCCCTTTCCTCGTCTTCATCACCGCCACCACTGCCCCTGTTACCGCTTCCGCCGCCACTCCCCGACGAGCTGCCACCATCCCGGTATGCGGAGATGGCGGTGGCTGTAGTGTGGACGAAATGGGTGGTCGTGAAAGGGCAAATTTTAAGTTTGAAAGGCAAGAAGATGAGAGTTGGGTGGGGTGGCAGTGACGAGTTGTTGCAGTGAGAGAAGAAGGGCGTGGATTGAGTGAAGAAGAAAGACGCTATAGCCATACGTGAGGATAGTTGGTGACGTTTAAAAAATGGAGGGAGAGAAGTCAGAGATGATAAGGTATTGGATAACGGGGAATTTTTAACATTTTAGGTATAATTATTAAAAAGTTTAATACTTCATTTATCCTTAATTTTAGATTTTTTTTTTTGTTAAATTGGTCTTACATTTTAAAAAAGTTATGTTAGGTTCATATTTCGTTAAAATTGTTCAGAATAATTCTTTTGATTTACGACGTTAAAAATATAACGGTGCAGTTGTTTTTGTGGCCAAAACTGAATGACGTGTGAAATTTTTGCAATATGTGGCACATATAATATAGTTGAATGTGTAAATAAAAAAATATATAATGAGGTCAACTAGGTTTAACGAAATGGGTTAAATCAAATTATCCTTATCTAATAATTCTATCGTGATTTATGAGTTTAACAATATGGTGAAACTGGACTTGTAATCATTGTGCGTGGTGATTCCTTGAAGGTCAAATTTGAAGAGCGTACGTTCGTGAGGTAAGTGTTGCTAACCCTAGCCTACTTACTTGATGTTCTTATTGTTGGATTTGGGGGTTAGGGTTTAAGGTGAAAATAGAGGGTGGAAAGTAATGGTGGAGAGGAAGTGGATGGTGGAGGTGGAAAGTAACGGTGGAGAGGAGGTCAATGGTGGAGTGGAGGTGGACAAAGATGGTGGAGTGGAGGTGGACAAAGATGGTGGACTGGTGGTGGAAACTAAGTCAGATATCTTTCATGTGTTTTTCGTGATATCCATTTGGGACCAAAGTACACAGTTTTAAATTGAAAAGGGGACCACATTGCACATTTTTTGACCAAAGGGGAAACTAAATTTAACATTACATATAAATACCTGAACGTAAACATTGAGCTTCACCTTCACATTACATGAACACTACACTTTAACGTAAACATTGAGCTTCACCTTCACATTGTTTGTGCATTTCTGGCTTGTGCAATTTGCAGGTTGGTGTCCATGGATGCTGCTTGCGAACTAGGGTTTCTGCAATTTGGGTAGCGATTATGTATGTTTATGGTTTGCTGCATGTGTGAATTATGTTTCTAGGTGTCGCGATTGCGATTTTCTTGTTCATATTTAGGTTGAAATTTATGGTTTGCAGGTTAGAGATTTCGATTAGGTTCTTGCTTAATGGTGGTGAGGTGCAACGCATGGTAGAGATTTTGCCCTGATTACGTACTGGTGACGCGGTTTAGGGTTTCATGAAGGCTAGGGTTTGATTTTTGGGTTTTCTGTTGCTTTTCTCTGCTTCGAATTGTAGGTCTGTGTTGATGGTGGTGACGGCAGCATGGTGGCCTGAGGGTTTGGTGGTGGCACGTTTCGTTTTGCGGCAGCAGCGACGGCTAGGGTTTCACGGTGGTGGCACAAGGGTTTCTAGTCTTAAGGAAATAAGGGTTTCACAGTGTTCTCCTATCCTTTTACATTAACATTGTCACATCAATGGGTCACAATTGTCACGTCATAAAAAATTGGACAGATCACAGTTGTCACATCATTGCACCGTTATGTTTTTAACTCCGTAAGTCAAAAAGACCAAATTGAACTGTTTTTAACGAAATATGGGACAATAGTGAACTTTTTTAAAAGGTAGGACGATTTTGAACATAACGTCCCAAACTAAGGACCAAATGATGTATTAAACCTTATTAAAATGTTTAATTAAGTTGATAGATTAGATATTTTTAAGTGAGTTTCGTCTATTTTTATTAATTATTTAAATTTTTTCTATTTTAAATTAAGTTTAGTTTTTAATTTTTTTCTTTTGTTAATTACGTGGTTTGATTGTTATTTTTATCTCATTATTTTATTTATTTATTTATTTTTATGTAAAAAGTAGGATTGGTTAATATAAAATTATATTGTAGTTAAGATAAAATTATGATTAGTTTATACATGTTGGATAATGGAGACAGTCTCATTAATAATGTCTTTAATCATGGTAAGTGATAAGTTTTAAGGATTAATTTTTTTTTCATAAATTATTAAGTAATTTTAATTTTAGTGTTTTTTTCAAAAAAAAAAATTCTAGTTAGATTTCTATCATTTCGAAATTCATGGATTAGCCCAGTGTTAGTGTTTTTTATGTGACAAATAGAGTGGTACCATCTCGTTTTAATAACACGTGACAAATTATATAATTTGAAGACTTAAATACTAATTTTGTTGAGTTTATTTAACATGATGGATTAATTTTTGTAATTTTATTAAATTTAATAAAGTTTTGTAACATTATTTAAATAGTTAACGACATATTGAACAGTGCGGCACAATTCATCTGACATGTCAATTTATCTTACGTGAAGGGGAGATTCATTTTCTCACCCATATCCTCATCATCATCTTGAACTCAAACATTTCTCCCAACATTCAAGCAACATGACACAACCTCCTTACCATCCTCATCTTTGAAGACCTCCCCTCCATCAACCCCAATATCATAACATTAGAAGATTTCATCTCCTTCATCTTCACCTCTAGGACCCATCACACAACTAGATCATCCACCTTCTGAAACATAGGTAAACTCTATAAATGAGAGGTTTGATTAGAATTTTAAATTTTTTTCGCAAGTAAGTGTTAGATGTTATTGCAAGGGTTAGACGGTTTGTAGATAATGTTGAACACTTAAAGATTTTCAAAAGCGTTTAAAAAGCCTTTAAGATGAAAACAAGGATGAAGACTTATTTTTATAATGGTTCACTTAAATATGAGCTACGCCTAGTTCTCCTTTAAGCACTCTTAAAGGGTTTCACTAATCTTTGAAAGATTTCAAATGAGTTTCATCATTCCTTGTTTACAAACGAGTATTATCACTCCTGGTTTTACACTAATCCAATTGACTAGATCATTTTCTCTGCTGAATTAAACAAAAACTAGTTTAATTCAATTCTGAATAAACAAAAACAATAAAATGTTTTTATAAAACAAACATATGATAACTCTCTTGAAGATGATATTTTTTCAATACAAAGAGTATCACTAGTGCAGTTCAGAGAAACGACACCGGTTATTTTCGTTTATACGCAACGGTTCCTGAACCGAGGTATATACAGGCGAGGTAAAAAGGGGTAGCCTTTTTGCCTCGATTCTGAACGAGGCAGTATGTGAGGATCTTTTGCCTCAGTTGGTTTCAAACCGAGGCGGTAGATGTTTTTTTTTTCCAGAAAATTCGGACTTTTGCCTTTCAAAATCATTTTTCTTTCTTTTTTATCTACAACAGCGGAGGCGACAACAAAACAGCGTGACGAACGGTCAAAGGCGGCGATGAACGGCCGAAGGCGACGACAAACGACTAAAGGTGGCGACAAACGGCCGAAGATAGTGACGAACAACTGGTGGCGACGACGAATGGTCACTGGCGACAAGAAACAACGTAGTTTGCGTGAGAGAAGTAGAGGCAACAACTTCGAACAATAGGTTAAATTTTTTTATCATGGCGGCCAGTGGTGGAGGTAGCGACGGGGTGGAGGCAGCAGCGACGACCAGTGGTGAAGGCAGCGACGACGACCAGTGGTGGAGACAACAATAACAGATCTGCAAGCTATTCGCTCGAGATGAGAAGCAACAATTTGCAGGTGAGTCTAAGGTTGAGTTTGACTAATGCGAGTTGAGGATGGTGGTGGTGAGAAGCTTGTGGAAGAGGAGAATGAAAGGGAAGAATGAAATAGGAGAATGAAACGGGAGAATGAAAGGAGAATCAAATGTCTGAATTTTACAAATTGAAGAAGTTATTACCTCAATTAAGTAGATAACCAAGGCAATAAGACTCTACTACCTCGGTTCTAAAGACAACCGAGGCGTAAACCTTTCAAAAAAAATTCAAAATAAAATTATTAATAGAAAAATTTAAAGATATATTTCTAACTATAGGCATCGGTTCACGGTTAAACCTAGGCATAAATACCTTATGGCATCAGTTCAAATGGAACCGAGACAGTAGAGGTTGTTAAAATGGATTTGAAACGTTCAAATACAGAGGTTGTCAGCTTTGGCAGGACATACTGCCTCGGTTATGCACAGAACCGAGGCAGTAGACCAATTTTGAAAAAGTTGGCAGGTGAAAAGTTTGATTTGCAGAGGGAAAGCATGGTTTTTTTTGCCTCGGTTGGTCAGAGAACCGAGGCAGTATACCCTTTAGTCATCGATTCCAATTGAACCGAGGCATATAGTTTCGCAAAGGTTACGAAATTGCCACTGCATTTTGATACGCTTCGATTTTTTTGAAACCGAAGCGTAACGTACGAGTTAAAAACCTCTTTTTGTACTAGTGTATCCAAAAACTTGTAAAAAAACTTTTTTTTTCAAAGGCAGTTAGGTGATGCAAGTTTGAGAGAAAATTGACGACGTAAGAGTAAATAATAATGATTCTTCTTGTTCTTCTCTTCATGCGTTCGTCTTTATATAGACTTCTTCAAAAAAGATATGTTACTTAGAGCATTAACTTTATCACATAAGGTGTAGCCTTTTGGTATGAAGTCAGATGCTATGTTGCTTCATACAAAGGCAATTGTGATGCTTGTATAGATACGTTAGACAAAAGATATTGAGAAAACATTCCCAAAATGTCTTCCTATCTCTGAACGTTCTTTTGATCCAATGTAGAACATTTGAATGAAGCTTTTCCTTTAATGATTTGCACAAATAAAGAGAACACGCCATAAAAAATAAGAGAGTACTTTTCGTACATTCTTTTCATGTTAGACGTTTATTAACGTTTAGGCATGTTACGTGTACTATAGCATTTATATATATCCTATTTAGAGTAACATTTAGGGTTTAGGATAGTGTTTACACATGTATAGCGTTTAACATGTTTATCGTAAACAACTCATTTTAATAAATTTTATTTCGTTAGACACTATTTTTAAACTTCAAAACAATGGTTGCTTAGACTATCTTGTCTTAACACCTTCATCTTCTTACAACACTAAACAATCCATCACCAACATAACCAACCCACACTGAACATAACCATCATTAATCACCCATCCCTACATACCTTCATAAAAAAAACACTATCACAAATCTTCTTTCTCCATCATTCCAAATTCAAGAAACCTCAATCACATACCTCCATTTCAAATGCAAGAAACCCTAATCACGAAACATTAATCACATACCATCAATTCAAATTCAATAAACCTCAATTGATTGTATGTGGTTATGTGTTGGTCCGTTCTTAACTAGTAATTGACTAGGGAAAAAGATGAAGTCGATTGTGGTTGAGAGTAGTATTGGGTGTATTGGTTTTGTGAAAATAAAGATAATGCAGAAAAAGTTTTTATGTTTGTTTTGTGTTGATGATGGGTGGTTCGATGTTGAAAAAAATGAATATGTGGAGATGAGTTTTGTTCACGGAGGAAGAAAATGGAGTGTGAAGTTGGATCCTTGGAGAAGGTGGAGAGTGTTTTATGAAGATGAAAGATGAGTTTTATGAAGTTTGATGTGTGTTAGTGTAGATGAAGTTGGATATGATGATGGAGGAAATAGGTCATGGAAGATGAAAGTGGTGATGGAGGAAAAAAATACACTTCATACAATGTTAGTTTCTCTACTATACCATTAACTATTTAAATGTTATTACTAGAAATGACCAAATTGACCACAATTGACTAAAATTTGGACTTTATTAACAACAAAAAAAAGATGGCCACATTGAATAAAATCAATGAAAATAGGGACATAATTAGTATTTAAACTTTAAAAAATGAAATTAATTTTCCACTTCATCTTCTTCTTCTCTATTAAGGTACCCATCCAAGGTTCTCCATTTCCAGGAGTGTGATCCATTTCCAGCATGTGAGGTCCTCAGCTATCCAACACAGACATTGTAACACCTAATTTTTGAGATGTCCTAGGTTTACAAAATTTTTTGAGAACTTATCTCTAATACCATTGCGAAATATAAATTAAATAATTTTTTTTTATTATAACTGAATTTAGAAAATTTTATAAATCAAATGTAATTATAAAACGTTCATGGAATCTCGTTACAAAACTATTAGCACTGAAATTAAAATTTCATAGTTCTCTCATGTATTTCCTTGCTCAACTCTACTTTAGCTACATTTGTATCAACATCTACTCTAATACAAGTACAAATCATCAGAGATAAAAACTACAATCACAATATGCAAGGGTGAGCTAACAGAAACAATTTATATAAACATAAATATTTATTAAAACATTGCTTACGCATGGATCACACCACTACTTAAAACATGAAAAACAAATTCGCATCATGTTCAACATATAAAAAAATAGTGATAATTTTAAAATGTCAATTTATATAATTTTTGTTGACAAGTGCATCCAAACCCATAAAATATAATAATATATGAACTTTTAAGTAAATATATTTTTAATTATAACAATAAAAATTATTCATTATTTTATATTAAATATAATATAGTAATTTTATTAATTAGATAATTGTATAATCTTGTACTTTTTAATATGTGAACAAGATGACGAACAATAAATTTATAATAGACTTCATACTTGATTAAATCTTATTAAAAGTTATCTTTTCGTATAAATAATTTTACAGTTTTCCTTAATTATAAGATTCAATATCAAATCTTTTTCATTTTATAATGATTAAAATATAATTAAATCTTAATTGTTATTTATTTCATGTCTATTGGACAAAAAAAATTGTAAAACACTATATTTAGAAACATATAATACAGAGACACATGTTTTAAGAAAATAACTCTCTCTGCAATGAATTATGTATTAAATTGGTGAGTTTATTACAGAAACATTTTCTTAAAATGAGTTGTTTTTTAATAAAAAAAATCTATCAGGTGTCGAAACCAGGTGAGTTCAAAATACAGAGTGTTGTTAAACAATAATGAATTATGTATGTCTGCAAATAACTTGGTGAGTATAATAAAGAATTTTTTTCTTTTAAAATAAGTTTTTCTTTTTTAAAAAAAACAGAAAAAAAGGTCCTACCGGGAGTCGAACCCAGGTCGCTGGATTCAAAGTCCAGAGTGCTAACCACTACACCATAGAACCCCCGTAATATTAATAAAGTTTACTTAAAATATAAATTTTCAACTATACTTCAATAAAAATATAATAAACCTTTTTATCATTTTTAATAAATTATATAAAGTTCACTCATTGTTAACTTTGGCTGCACTTTTTTTCTCTCTTCTAACTGTTCTTTCCACCTTTTTTTTCTCTTTTCTATTTCTCTCGCCATTAACTAAAAGCAGAAAGTGAATATTCTTTCCTGCCATCTTCTGTACGTGATACTTTCCCCTTGAAACTGGAAACACACAAGACTGGAGAAGTGGTATTATCAATGAGGCTAGACAGATGAAACCAACACCAGTGTTGAAATGTGTGCAATATAGCTCCGAGTCCTGGGTGTTGGACACTATCATATGTTTCAGCTCCTTCAAAATAAGGTGATTTCCCTTCCATTACACTCTTTAAAACAACACCCAAGTGCACTTGCAGGAAAGCCTTTCAGTACTCAAAATCTTCTGGGCTTTTTCCTATCCAAAATAGCACCAAGATTGGGTAATGCATTATTAAATTTCTGAATCCTGAGGAGGCCTTTGATAATAGATGTTTCGGATTGTGAGAATCTTCCTTTTTCCATCACCATATTGATAAGTCGGATAAGGGTGTCCTCCCTTGATAAAGAGCAAAGACCTTCAGCCAAGAAACCAAATGACTGGAACTCTGGTAATATTCCTTTCTCCAACATTTCAATCGTAAAATCAACAGCCTCTTGTATCGGTCCTCCACCATTACAGAGGCCACGGAAAAGAATCTTGTATGATACAGCATCCGGAGGATCACCTTTTTCCATCATTTCTATGAAAAGCCTCATGGCTTCGCTTGTTCTCTTCCTTTTGCAGAGTGTTTGAATCACAGGGTTATAAGCATGTGGAGTCAAGACCATACCTTTCATCTGAAGAGATTTAAGGAGCTTAATTGCAATCTCTACTCTCCCCGCCTTACACAGCCCCATAATAAGGGTCCTATAAGTTACAATATCTGGTTCACACCTCATCGACCAGTGGAAGATGAGGTTTGGGTTGATACTTTGTTGTAACATATAGTCAGTAAGATTATATGTTTTTCTCTTTTCTGTTTCATAAAATTTGTTTATTTTTTGGGATAATAAATAAGTCTGATCAGAGATGAATTTAAGATATAGACCAATAAAGAAAAGAGAGAGACCTTAATTAAGGTTGTATTTTTCTTTTACTTCATCTTCTTCTTTTTTTTTTCTTAGTTCTTGGTGCTGTAAATGGGAGGAAATTAATTCCGGTTTTGTCTTTTTATCTGTGCTTTCAGTTTTGACATCTTGTTACACTTCATATGACTGCCATTGACTTTTCCTCCCTATGTTTTTCTTATTTTAGCTTATTTCTCTATTTTTTGTAATCCCTATATTTTGGTACACATAAACTTTTGAACCAGTAGGTACTCAACTCAAATAATTTTAATATATATTACTTAAATACATCTTCAAAATTATTCTTTTAATTTTTTTATTATATCGGCGGGTTATAAAATTAGTCTATATCATTATTTATTAATTATGTAACATGCATTCAGACGTTACAAAATTAGTCTTTATCATCATTTATTAATTACGTGACATGCAGTTAGACCTGTTACATTACTAATTAATATGAAAAAAAAAAACATATAGCATTTTGTTATCATTAAACAATAAGGAGTATCATTTAATTATTTTTTAAGATTCATAAGCAAATACAAAACATTAAAATTAGATTTATTGTATTTACATTTACCAACAAATTTATTACGATGTACGGAAGTTGATGAGTAGAAAGAAAAGGTTGAGTTTGGTGAGTAACTTCACTCTGAAAAGAACCTAAAACACTAGCATGCAGATGTTGTCTCTGTGCCATTGTGCATGCAAGGTGATGTGTTTCTCTTTTAATTAATGTTGAAATATCACGTATAGAAGATGGCAGGAAGTAATATTCAATTTTTTCTTTTAGTTAATGGTGAGTGAAATGAAAAAAACAAAGAAAGAGAAAAAAGGTGGTGAGAATAACAGAAGAAAGAATAAAAAATGTGCAATTCGTTACTTCCAATTTAATGGATAAAATTTTATTTATATAATTTTTATAATTTTAGAACTAATGTCTTTATTTTTAAAATTTAACACTAAATAAAAATTTAACTCTTAATATAAAGACGAAGTAAATATTTAAACCTTATTTATATTTTTTTTAAATATAAATTTTTCTATGTTTTAAAATAAAGTTTCACAAATACACTGTTTATTTTACTCCTGTAATAATATTTTTCAAGTTTCATTAACATAATTTATTTTTAATCATTTGGTAAATATTTAATCCAATGTTTCAAATTTTTTTGAAAGAAACATATATTATGTAATTCATTTTTGAAAGATTCATTTAGATTTTTATCATGAATAATAATAATATATTCCCTTAACCTTTTCTTCTAGTTTATTTTATTGAATTTTTATATTAATCGTCATTAATAATAACAATTTATACTAAAAAATATATTGTTCACTTTCAAAATTATAGTGATTTCAAGGCAGTGTTTATAGCTCAAGGTTTCACTAGTTTCTATAGTAGATTTTGATGTGAAATTTGTGACAGTTTCCTAATTGATTCTCTCTAAATGGAAAATATAGAAAAAGTTGATTTAATCACCTTTTATTCTTGGTTCTCACCTTTGGATTTGGTAGAGGAATACACTTTTAATATCTTCTCCGAATTATAACAATTATGTTATTATATACAATTATTACTATTAATTTGATCGACTATAAACTGCTTGGACTTCGAATGGTTAATTAATGAAGTAATTAAGATTTTTTTTGTAAGAGTCACTATCAAAACCTTTTCACTTTGTAAGTATTAAACACATAATTAAACCTTATTTGTTATTTATTTTTATTAAATAAAAGAAAGTAAAACACTCTATTAGATGAAATATTATACCAAAATTTAATATTAAGCCGTACATCATATATATATATATATATATATATATATATATATATTTAAACTCACCCAACTTAGTTTAAAGAATGAATCAGAAAGAATGTTATATGATATTTAATATTACTTTTCAAATTATTCTATAATTGGAAACCTTATTTCTTTGTTTAATAGAATCTGCAAATTCAGAATAACTTACCAATTACAGCAAGATCAATTATATACCTACCTATATCTTTGTTTAATGCACATCTTTCCTACCATCCATTTTTTTCTTTTTTTTTATTTCTATTTCTGTTTAACGCATCTCTTACAAAATCTTATCTTCTGTTTTCTTTCTAAATATTTACAAGATAATAAGTATGTAGCAGTCAATTTCGTTGCAGTAATTAACTTTTTTCAGCATCATTCGCCCAGACAAATGGGGTCACACTTCCCGCATGGTGTAAGTAGATAAGGTAAGCCACCTGGTTCATCTCAACACCCCTCCTTTTTCTGTATCCAGAAGTGTGTGCAAGAGTATCGAACCAAACAGCACTTTTTTAATGAATAATAATGCAAGCCACGTGATTCCTTGGAACACTATAATTTGCCTTCAGTGAACAAAGCACAACACTCCACGAAGAAAGCTCAGAGCAGAACAACATAATCCACAATGAGCACCGCCGCTGGAAAAGTAGTGTGTGTCACCGGCGCTTCCGGTTACATCGCTTCCTGGCTCGTCAAGTTTCTTCTCGAACGCGGCTACACCGTGAAGGCCACCGTTCGCGACACGAGTATGATTTTTTTTGTCTTCTATAATTTTTGTTTTCGTGGTTGATTATTTGTGGTGATGCATAACTATTTGGAAGATTAAAGATTGGGTAATGTGTGATGTTCAGGTAATCCCAAAAAGGTAGATCACTTGCTCAGCCTTGATGGTGCGAAGGAGAGATTGCATCTCGTCAAGGCCAATCTTCTAGAAGAAGGTTCCTTTGACTCTGCCGTTCAAGGTTGTCACGTTGTGTTTCACACTGCCTCTCCCTTTTTCAACGATGCCAAAGATCCGCAGGTTTGCTTCTTTTGCAATTTGATTTGTGCATTTATTTTTTTATCTGTTGCTGTGTAATATTTTGTTTTTAATTTATCTATTGCAGACTGAGTTGTTGGATCCGGCAGTGAAAGGGACTCTGAATGTTCTGAAATCGTGTGTGAACTCGCCCACGCTGAAACGCGTCGTTTTAACTTCTTCTATTGCTGCAGTTGCGTTCAGCGACAGGCCTAAAAACCCTGATGTAGTGGTTGACGAGACTTGGTATTCTGACCCGGAATACTGTAAGAGAACAGGGGTATGTACTGTTTCCTCTAATAATCTTTCATTACACGTTAATCTTCATTACCTAGATGAAACTTCATTGAAGAACCACACAAATTGTATATACAGTAAAGTTTCAGACAACGAATAATTTGAAGACCAAGAAGATCTACTGGTGTGAGTTTTAGAAGAAAAAATCTTGAATACAAAATCACTTTTTACTTCCACTAAACGTCAATCCTCATTATGTATATGAAACTTCATTGGAGAACCACACAAATTGTATATACAGTAAAGTTTCAGACAACGAATAATTTGAAGACCAAGAAGATATACTGGTGTGAGTTTTAGAAGAAAAAATTTTGAATACAAAATCACTTTTTACTTCCACTAATGTATGTGAGTCTAATCTTTCAAAGAAACCATTGGTTTAACACCATTCGTGGAAAAATAAAAAATAGTATTTCAAGCAGAGTATGGCTTATATTCTTTGCTTTCCATAGCATGTAAGTGCACAAAAGCTTTTCATGATACGGCTAATGTTTTATCTATTAAATTTTGATGTTATAGCCAACGGTTTAAAATCTAATTTGAGGTGCATAGAGACGTTTCTCAAACAAAGCATACAAGTAAACACCAACAATTATTTTAGCTTCATCCCAGTGAAGACTGGGTATTCCTTCGTATGATTAAATTCTGTTTGTTGTAATTTTGGTATTATGCACTCATTGTTCACTAATTCTCATGCGTAGCTGCACTACAAAAGAATTTAATCTGCTTCTCTCAATTTGTTCATATGATATGAGAACAGCTTATTAGTTGTAATTTTATATGCATTAGACGATTGCTACTGAACTTTAATACTTATATTTATTCAAATGTCAACCAAGTGTTGTAATTTGTTATGTATCATGTGTTATCATGTTCTTCACTTTTTCTTTCTATTTCCTGTTTTTGTTTTAGTTATGGTATAACCTTTCAAAGACTCTGGCCGAAGATGCTGCCTGGAAATTTGTTAAAGAAAACAATATTGACATGGTTACAATGAACCCAGCATTGGTTATTGGACCTCTCTTGCAACCAGAGCTTAATACTAGTTCTGCTATAGTTTTAAGTTTAGTTAATGGTAAGTAATTACTATTTATGCAGCGTGCTGTATAATTTCTATTGTTTGCTTTGTCTGCTTCTTGATTACAGAATGTAATTTTTTTCAACTACAACTGTTATGAGTGAAATGAAATGAAAAGGAAATATAAAATAATAAAACAGAGATTAAAATGCAATACGAAAAGGACTGGCTAATAATTTGTTATAATTCAACTCAAACTATGTTATGTTACTAATAAACGCTGCTGCATAGCTAAAGCGTTAATGATAGAAAACAGAAGAGAATGATAATAAACTACTGCACTTTGTTATTCACTTATCAGAGTCTTTAAGTAGGCAAATTCAAACCCCACATAGCCAGACATTAGGAATCCTACTATCAAGAGATAATTGAAATTACAGGAACAATAACAGTAAAATGTTTTAAACCACTAACAAAGTTATTTGCTAACTACTTGGACTCATTAACCCCACACACTCACACACATGTACAGCCTTCATGTGTTATGATTTTCACTGCACAATTTTTAGATAATTGAAGAAACTGATTCATCGCCTTGACACAGGAGCGAAAACATTTAAAAACAATTCTTTGGGATGGGTCGACGTGAAAGATGTTGCAATGGCCCATATTCTAGCATATGAGAATGCTTCAGCTAATGGAAGATATTTACTAGTTGAGAGAGTGGCACACTTCGGAGAGGCTGCGAAGATTTTACGAGATTTATACCCAACATTGCAAATTCCAGAGAAGTGAGTATAAATATTTTGATAGTATCTAAATTGCATACATTTTATATACATAAAAGGTGAACTAAAGTCCCCGTCTGTTGTACCTTACTGTTTATTGCTTTACTTTGCTTAAAAACTGAATTTAGTGCATAAATGCATTCAGCGATGATGATCTGAATCTATACAAAACCTTAGATTCTATAGGCTAAAACAACATAACAACCTTCCTAACATAAGACTATATGCCGCTACCAATTTGTCCTAATTTACAATATCAACAATCTGTTGTAACTCAAGCTTATAAAAAATATATTAATTTACTAAAATTAATTAGCTACTGTACAAGTGGTGTGGAACACTCTTGGCTGGGGAATAGATATTATGACTTCTTCATGCATAAATTTTTAGATATCCTGGATTTGAACATGTATTGTTTTGCATATGCAATATTGATACATATAACTCTAGGTGCATACTTGAGATTCTTAGTTTCACCATAATCTAATGACTAGAACTTTTCACACTTAAACGTCTCCAGTATATTTTTGTAGCTATGGTAATTTGTGTGGTTGGAATTCATTAGTGAATTATATGTTCATTAGGTGAGGCCAAAAGAAAAACTTTGCATATGTAGGTATTTAAAAAATTATTTTGTAAGAAAAACTCATTAGGTTATGGGCCCAACGTGACACTTGATTTGGTGGTCTAATGTTGTTTTGCATTTGTATAATTATAAGTAATTTGAGATTTTGTTGTTTTTGATTTTTCTAATACCCATTTCACTCTGTCAACAATATTGTCAGGTGTGAAGACGATAAGCCATGGGTACCAATATTTCAGGTTTCCAAGGAAAAAGCGAAGAGCTTGGGGATTGACTATATTCCTTTGGAAGTGAGCCTCAAGGACACTGTGGAGAGCTTGAAGGAAAAGAAGTTTCTCAAAGTTTAATGGTACCCTTAAAGAAATGTGGAAACCTTCTTATGCCTAGGCTTGAGTAAATTTAGTATTAAATAAGAAACTGATGTAAGTGCTGTAATAAGTGATTCTTGGACTGGTTTGTTCCGGTGACAAGTTTCAAACATGCGTCCCCATGTTAGAGTCTGCATTAGACATTGTATCCTCGTGATATTATATTAGTAGAAGATGTTTGTTTGGAAAATTCGTTGGTAAGATCAATGTGGAAAATTAGTTGGTAAGATGAATATTGATTGTCTGTCAGACGTAAGTAGGATGTTTTAAATTTGAGATACCTAATGTGTAGGCATGTGTGATATTTGGAGAGGTCTTTGTCTATTTTTAGTACGAAAAGATTGTAAAAATGTATATTTGGTGTAAAATTTAGAGGCAAAGATTGTAAAAATGTATATTTGGTGTAAAATTTAGAGGCAGTTTAGTAGACGTTGTGTATTTAAAAAGTTAGGAATGATTTTATTTATTTGAATAAGTGAAGGATCAGGACTAACATTTGTTGGAAATTGAAATATATTGATTTTTTGTTGGGAAATTGAAATATATTGATTTTTTTAAAGAATTGGATGATTTTATATAGGTGGACTGTCATAAATTTTGTTTTATTAGATTTATTTTTTCTTTTAGGGGGTTTTCACATAGAAGGATGGAGATTGAATAAAATAAATTTGAGAGGATTTGAAACTAAATTAGCATTGTTTTTAAGAAATTTGGAGGTGAATGAGTGAGTTTTTAAGAAATTTGGAGGTGAATGAATGAATTTAAAAGTAAAGTTTATGAAAATTTTTAAGAAATTTGGAGGTGAATGAGTGAATTTAAAAGTAAAGTTTATGAAAATTAATATAAGATTTGTCAAATTTGATTGATAAAAAAATGTTAAAATTGATAGANAGTAGGCAAATTCAAACCCCACATAGCCAGACATTAGGAATCCTACTATCAAGAGATAATTGAAATTACAGGAACAATAACAGTAAAATGTTTTAAACCACTAACAAAGTTATTTGCTAACTACTTGGACTCATTAACCCCACACACTCACACACATGTACAGCCTTCATGTGTTATGATTTTCACTGCACAATTTTTAGATAATTGAAGAAACTGATTCATCGCCTTGACACAGGAGCGAAAACATTTAAAAACAATTCTTTGGGATGGGTCGACGTGAAAGATGTTGCAATGGCCCATATTCTAGCATATGAGAATGCTTCAGCTAATGGAAGATATTTACTAGTTGAGAGAGTGGCACACTTCGGAGAGGCTGCGAAGATTTTACGAGATTTATACCCAACATTGCAAATTCCAGAGAAGTGAGTATAAATATTTTGATAGTATCTAAATTGCATACATTTTATATACATAAAAGGTGAACTAAAGTCCCCGTCTGTTGTACCTTACTGTTTATTGCTTTACTTTGCTTAAAAACTGAATTTAGTGCATAAATGCATTCAGCGATGATGATCTGAATCTATACAAAACCTTAGATTCTATAGGCTAAAACAACATAACAACCTTCCTAACATAAGACTATATGCCGCTACCAATTTGTCCTAATTTACAATATCAACAATCTGTTGTAACTCAAGCTTATAAAAAATATATTAATTTACTAAAATTAATTAGCTACTGTACAAGTGGTGTGGAACACTCTTGGCTGGGGAATAGATATTATGACTTCTTCATGCATAAATTTTTAGATATCCTGGATTTGAACATGTATTGTTTTGCATATGCAATATTGATACATATAACTCTAGGTGCATACTTGAGATTCTTAGTTTCACCATAATCTAATGACTAGAACTTTTCACACTTAAACGTCTCCAGTATATTTTTGTAGCTATGGTAATTTGTGTGGTTGGAATTCATTAGTGAATTATATGTTCATTAGGTGAGGCCAAAAGAAAAACTTTGCATATGTAGGTATTTAAAAAATTATTTTGTAAGAAAAACTCATTAGGTTATGGGCCCAACGTGACACTTGATTTGGTGGTCTAATGTTGTTTTGCATTTGTATAATTATAAGTAATTTGAGATTTTGTTGTTTTTGATTTTTCTAATACCCATTTCACTCTGTCAACAATATTGTCAGGTGTGAAGACGATAAGCCATGGGTACCAATATTTCAGGTTTCCAAGGAAAAAGCGAAGAGCTTGGGGATTGACTATATTCCTTTGGAAGTGAGCCTCAAGGACACTGTGGAGAGCTTGAAGGAAAAGAAGTTTCTCAAAGTTTAATGGTACCCTTAAAGAAATGTGGAAACCTTCTTATGCCTAGGCTTGAGTAAATTTAGTATTAAATAAGAAACTGATGTAAGTGCTGTAATAAGTGATTCTTGGACTGGTTTGTTCCGGTGACAAGTTTCAAACATGCGTCCCCATGTTAGAGTCTGCATTAGACATTGTATCCTCGTGATATTATATTAGTAGAAGATGTTTGTTTGGAAAATTCGTTGGTAAGATCAATGTGGAAAATTAGTTGGTAAGATGAATATTGATTGTCTGTCAGACGTAAGTAGGATGTTTTAAATTTGAGATACCTAATGTGTAGGCATGTGTGATATTTGGAGAGGTCTTTGTCTATTTTTAGTACGAAAAGATTGTAAAAATGTATATTTGGTGTAAAATTTAGAGGCAAAGATTGTAAAAATGTATATTTGGTGTAAAATTTAGAGGCAGTTTAGTAGACGTTGTGTATTTAAAAAGTTAGGAATGATTTTATTTATTTGAATAAGTGAAGGATCAGGACTAACATTTGTTGGAAATTGAAATATATTGATTTTTTGTTGGGAAATTGAAATATATTGATTTTTTTAAAGAATTGGATGATTTTATATAGGTGGACTGTCATAAATTTTGTTTTATTAGATTTATTTTTTCTTTTAGGGGGTTTTCACATAGAAGGATGGAGATTGAATAAAATAAATTTGAGAGGATTTGAAACTAAATTAGCATTGTTTTTAAGAAATTTGGAGGTGAATGAGTGAGTTTTTAAGAAATTTGGAGGTGAATGAATGAATTTAAAAGTAAAGTTTATGAAAATTTTTAAGAAATTTGGAGGTGAATGAGTGAATTTAAAAGTAAAGTTTATGAAAATTAATATAAGATTTGTCAAATTTGATTGATAAAAAAATGTTAAAATTGATAGAAAATAAAGATTATTAAAATGTTTTTAGTGATAAAAATAATATAAAATTATATTTATTAATAATGTGTTTATTGGTAAAAAATATTATAAAAAAATCAAAATTATTTTTGAAAATAAAATAAATTTGTATCTAAGTAAAATTAAATAAATATGTTTAAAATTTAATTTTTTTAAGAATATAATTTATTATTAAGTGGTATAATTTTTTTGTTTGTGAAGTTAAATTAAATATTTATGATCAACCAAGTGAAATTATAATATTATATGACATAAAAAATGCATGCACATAAGATACAACTATATTTTTTTTGTGGGTAATATAATAAAATAATGTTTAGAGATAAGTTGGTCAAGTTATCCTCAATTGGTTGAACATGTCTTTACATTTTATTTGATACCTTGCATTCTATTTTGTAAGTCTTCAACTCCTTCCACATTTGAGTCATCATGTCGGGATTTGAAGGATAGGGAGGATGTTCAAAATGACCACCAAAGTGTTGGCTTCCTTTAATAGGGTCATCATGTTTAGGACCTTGATGTTCTATTTGTCCTTCGTCTTCATCAATACAGAGATCATGCTGCCAAACACCATTGATGTTAACAATATTCACCCTCTTTAAATAATTGGTAGAAAATTGTTGTCTAGTCTCAATCTGAGTGTTGCATCGATGTCAAGATGTACTCTACTATATTGCATGATTTTGGTGATCAATACACCATATAGTGGAGTTGTGTCACTGACCTTGCATTTAAGCATATGTTGCACAATGTGATGAGGTCAATTGATAGATATATTATTTTTTGGCACCCATAACATAAAAATATCTTCTTGCAACAATTTTGCGAAATTTCCAACTCGTGGAGTTAACATATGCACGATAGCATAATGTCGAAGTCTGTCATTAATATTCAAACAACCAACCGTTTTCAAATGTTGACCCTGCATTTCTGGTCTAACCATAATAGCCAAAATGTCATCTCATAATCATAAGGAAAGTCATCTGGTATATTTTCAAAGAATAATTTTCGACCCTCATATTTTAGATGAGCAACATTTAACCAATCAGCTGGTCTCAACTTAATTCTCTTTTTTGTTGACCTCACTCTGAAGATATCAATTTATTGAGATCCTTAGATTTGAATAGAAGATTTCAGATAGAAGGATTATTCCAATTTAACAAAATATGATACGCCCTGAAACACAAGGTGATGATGAAAATATAGACTAGAGGTGACAAATGAATCAAAATTCACAGTCTGAACTAGAACATTTTTTGTAGAGATATCAGTTGCTTAATGCTCCATCTAATGACTATCGTTGAAGAAATGACATTGATCTAATACTTCTTTCACGAATGACCTCCTTTGTGAAGAAGTGTTTGTCTCAATCACTGTTCCTTTTCCCTTATGACTTCTTCGAGTCATTTTTCATGATGATGATGCCATTGAAAGAATAACTTCAACAAAAAAGAGAGAAGAAAAACAAAAAATTTCATAACAACAATATAATATTAATAACAATTACGAACTTCATACATATAATAAGTGCTGATAATTAACATTGTTCAATATAATGCAACAATTGTAGGAAGGGTCAAAATGTTACAATTAAAATCAACTTAAGACTATTAAACATATACATGGACTTAACTACCATCCATCATCATTGTTAAACAACTTATTCCATCTATGATGTGAGGGCATTTTCATTAACCTTTTCGTGCATACAGGGTTTGCACACAGGAAATCATATTATTGTTCCATAAGTGTATCTTCTTGTATGTTCATCGTAGATAACATTTCCCATATGTCGTCCTCAGTGTATTGGAAAGATGGGGTGCGACGCATGATCTCCACTCGGTTATTGAGAATTTCATTCCTCTTCTCAATGACAATCACTTGACGCTTGATTATGGATGATATTTTCTCAAAATGAGCATTACTGGATCCCATGACGTCCATGAAGCCATCGAGCCTTGTCGTCAACTTACCAAATTGTGAGTCCATTATGTCGACCATAGGTGCCTTCTGCTTTCAACCAAGTGAAGATGAAGTGCCTCCTAATGGAACGGAAGGCACAAACTGAGTAGCCCTTTTAGGAAAATCATCCCACAACTCAATCATTTTGAGAACAATGACCCCACAATTATATCTGGAACACTCACAACACCATATGAACAAATTATTACAACATTCTTAATCAAATCTATATATTGAATGGGACCACACTTTGGTCAAACCATTAAGGCAAACTACTTACATGTTTGGTTGAGTGGGAATAACGATATGTTGTACTTTAAATGTTGGCTTCTTGTCTTTAGTACAGTTTAACAACATCGAAAATAAGAGTTCCATGTTACAAGTCTGTACACAAATAAAAGAAAGTTCAAATATGAAGTGCATGGTAAAATAATCGAAATAACTACATGTTAAAATAAATATCTTTACAATAAAATTGTCTATATGTTTACGTTCCTGTCTATTGTGCTTAAGTGAATCAAGAGTTTATAATAAAATGGACAATTAGAAATAAAATTAATATTTTTAAATGGTAAAGCATGGGTATCATAGGCTACAATAAGTGCATGGTTACAATAGAATGATTAATTTGTGTTGGTTTAATTTTGTTGGACTGGGTTACATTTCTAACATATTGTTTGAGTAGGACCTACGTTGGGTCCACATTAGAATATGGATGACTCTTTAAATGTTGATATGTGAATGATGATAAAAGGAGTGTAGATAGTATTTAGTTGATTAAGGTATGTGTTTGATTGACTTCATATGATTAGGAGGTTTTAAGATCAATAAGTGAAGAAGTATAGATTGAGTTATGAATTTTAATACCTTGAGGGTGAAGTTGAGGTCTTGTTAGTGGTATATACTTGAAGAAAGGGACATGTCTATCTTATACCTAGTGAATCCCGAGTTTTTTACTATCTACCTTGTGATACGGGATATGGGCTCTGTTTGGCCTTGTGTGCGAAAAGAGAGTGACGTTCAAGTACTGCACCTTCTTTATATTTGGGAATGATGTTTTGCCTAGTCTTTGGCTCGTTGCTGAGTTTAGTACCCGGTACGCGATATGTCTATGTTTTTACTCATAAGTCTTTGCGGAGTAGGGAAACATGTCCTTTAGCCGTGAGGACGGGATGACTTGAACGATCCTATATGAGGAAGCTACAGGTAGTATGGTTACGAGCCTATATGGGGAAGCTATAAGTGGTATGGTTGTGAACCTATATGGGAAAACTATAGGTGTTATGGTTGAGTACAGGAGATGGACTAGGGTCCTTGATGATGATGTTGGGGTTCATGATGACGATGTATTTGGAGACTGTGTTGATAAGGATGACATTGATGGTATGGTAATGACATGGCTTATGAGGATGTTGATGAAGACACTAGTACAAAAATCGCGTACAACGTCGAATATTTTGGGCTTTTAACGGCTAATTCGCGAACGACATTATACCAGGAGATGTTAAATTTAAAAAATTCGAGGTTAATTTAACGTCGAATTTTGTTAATATACGACGTTAAGTTAACGTCAAATTTGGTCAATATTCGACGTTAATTGTTTTAGTTTTTTTTAATTAATTGTGATCATTTTTTACAACTCTACGAGACCTGAAAAACAAAAAAAACAACAAATTTCAGTTTTTGGTATTTTATAAAACATGAACTATGAACATGTAGTGTAGTATCAACAACAAAAAATAATAATCAACAATAAACAAGTTCAATCAAACAACAACAATAAACAACTTCGACTAAACAACAACAACAAACAAGTTCAACAAAAAAAACAACAAACAAGTTCAACAAATAAGTTCTTAAAACGAAAACGAAAACGAAAACTAACCTTCAAAAGGTGGGTTCGTCAAAATAAAGTTTCTTCACAGTGAGAGAAAGAAGAATGCGCCTATTAAGGACAAGAACACGAAAATAATCGGTTAAAACAAACAAAAATTATACATAAAGTAATTAATTAACATGCATTTGTATCAAATGAAAGAAATATTATATGTGATGTTTTTTAAACTTTGTTCGATAAAAGTTTTAGAATTGAAGAGTTTTTCTTGCTTTAAGATAAAGTGAATGAATTTTCAATCTCCTGCTCAATTTTTTATTGAATTCACTAACCTTTTGACGTTGAATTTAAAAGTCATTCGACGTTTTATAATTGCATTTATTTACAAAAATGTCGTCGCTCATTTTTAACGTTGGTTATTCAGTGGTTGGACGTTGAACGCGTGACGTTATACGTTGTTTTTGTACTAGTGAGATCATG